CACATTTTTTCGAAACGAAACATCGAGGCGTTACGTTCTCGTCTTAGGGTACATATTGTGATTCAATCGCAAAGTAAAGCCCGCTAAGCGAATACATCGAGGTAGCCGTAAAGAGAAGATGAAGACCATTTCTTGTGGTACGACATCAGTCTCGCATAGGAAGCGTGAACAACGCTGTTTTGGGTAATATCTACCCAAAACGTTCGTTTTATTGCGGGACCGTTAGTTGTAATGCAGTATCAAGCGCAAATCCGAAATGGTAGATCTATTCGTTTGTTTAGCATAAAGTGATCACAAGCAACTTGAGCCTGAGCGTGTCGGCGATTGGCGCTCAATCGTCAAAAGAGCAGTAAACAAAGCTGCTTCCAGCCGATGTCAGTGGGTAACGAATCCACTTCAGACATATAATACGACATCTCCCAAATTAGAAAGATCACCTGGACTATAACATTCAGACTTCCTATTTAAGAAGCAAAGCAGTCCGCAGATTATTTGACGGTATACCAAGCACATGAAAAATCCAATTGTCAAAACGTTTCCCATAGGAAATGCAGTAAACTCGTTGGCAGAACACGTTCAATATGTCGATTGGTTTTTTTTTTTTTTTTAACGAGCTGAAAGATTCGCCAAACGCACACCGTTTTGTAATACTATCGGCTTGTTTCGTGAATGCTCCGTAGTAACGTGTCAAAATTAAGGATCAGCGAAACACAGCACAGATAGATGTTCGAAGCTTAACATACGGTACAGAAGTAGGCTATTCCAGACGATTAACCCGTTCTCGTATGAAACGAAGTGTCTCGCCGTCCGGCTGGCGAATTCAGACCACCATGTTTCGGTAACCTTCGAAGGTGCGCACGCTACCCCACTTTGCTACCATGGTGAAAAACAGTGAAGGTCAATTGCCTAGCCACGAGCAATCTATTTACCCACAAAAAATTTTAGCCACGTGCAAATTTTAATTCGGTCTAATTAAAGCTAGAAACTTTAACATAGTGATCCAACAGAGCTACGCTGCAAATGCCCATATGGCCTAGAAAGGGAGAGAATGATCTGAAGAAAGTAATCTCGATCGTATCCGACTCATTTCTTATTAAAATCAAATTTCCTCTTTCCGAACCCACTCGAAGAAGCATGAATATAAGCCGCCCATTTTACCTAGTCAAAAAACTTCTTTGTAATAGAGAAGGGTTGAAGGAAACTTGCTTCTTAATTTTCACCTTTCCAGCTTAGGTCATAAATGCAAGTTAGGCATTATTTTGCCTTTTTTTTTTTAATATCAAGAATTTTATTGTTCATAAAGAAAGACAGGTTGCAATTTATAGGCGGCGAGCAAGACCTTTCAAACGTATCCTGCTGCGATAGAATTTAGAACAATGGACGTACATCATCCTGAACAACTCTAAACTTACTTAGTATCATGCGAGATCGGTCGTGAAACGTAACGACAAGAGGTCTAATGACAATAGTCTAGCAGAGTGTTATTCTCCATGTGCTCCAATGTAATTTAGCCAGCGCGGACTCTTTTTTTTTTATTTAGGTAGATACAGAGCTTTGAGTTCTACGGCCATAACCTTTTGTTTATTTCAGTGTTATTCATTGATTGCTATTCTTTGCGTACGCTCGCTCACTGCAATTTGGACTTCTTCGGACGCATACTTGAAACTGTAAGGGCAATATGATCTTGTTGTTTCTACGCGTGACCGTAAATGCCCTTGTGCTCATCTGTGTTGATAAAACATTTCCATTTAAATATGGCCCATTTTCGGCCCCCCGTGCGTTCAGCTGGCGCCACGTCTTCATGAAACACAATACCGCAAACGTTGATGTGGGCAGATAATAACAGGAACACCGATATGCGATATCGGTGCTGGCATTGCCAGAGAAAATAATAAGCAAACGAATACTTCAAACGAA